AGTCAAGTTGTATGCGTAACTGACAATTTCTGGTTTTTCATTATTTTGTAGAATTTAAAATACCTTGTGAATAAGAACACTGGTTGTACTTAAAAATTTTCGAATGCCTACACCCTTCATAGGGCATGAATGATGAGAAGGTCCTGATTTTGAATTGACTGAAATTTCGCTCTCGCCCCGCAAGGTTCTAAAACGATGGCGTCAAATGCAACTTTTCTTGTGCTAATTACTTTTCCTCAGTTGTAATGAATAAGTAATAGGGGCTATTTTCTAAGATTTCAATTGATTAATTACTTCTGAATCAATTACTTTTTTTAGGTGTAGTGAATAAGTAAGGTAAATAACAGTGATTATTTTCTAAGATTTTTCAAGGGATAACACTGGTTTTAAATCAAACACGTGTTGGCATGCATCACTGCAAGAAAATGTTGCACGCTTTCGGTGCTTTCGCACTATCCATTTACAAAAAGATATTGACCAGTTGGGAGTACGGAAACGTCCAGTCGTTTGCCTGGTACCACTTTGGCGAGCGCGGTATACGGCACTGTGAATATTCGGCCACCGTAATGGAATAATCGAAGACTGGACAGGTCACCACTAATGGAAACGTGATCCACCTGGAACAGGAAGCAGTACTCCTCTGGCACAAAAACACATACAAATATGCGATAGCTGAGTTATCTAAGTAAGCTGCGGGCAGCGTAGTACCTTGTGCCGTCCTTAAGAGGCCTAACTCAAGGACTCACTGATTTTTCCGCTCTCCATTTTTTTTTTTCAGCCTGTATCAGAGACTTTTTCGTTTTTCGAAACGAGCATGTAAGGAGGCTTGGTCCTGCGCTTAGCCATTTCAGCATGGATTATTTCGTATTCCATCTTAGGAGCTAGCGCCGAGCCCTTGTTGAACTCGTGCAGAAGACTATTATAAGCTGTAGAAAAAACTAATATAAGCTATAGACAAAAAGGTGACGGGAAAAATGCAGCTAACAAAATAATAACTTACCCCGTCGAGAGGCATCCGCTGATCAAAGGTGCCGACTTCGGCGCGATTCGCAAATACCTGCATACTTATAATTAGTTCACGTGTATTTAAACCATTGCTGTTCCCGAGGATTACAGGAACTAATCATAGCCGACCACTCACGGTCAATTTGACAAAAAAAGGCCCAGCTCTCCGGGAACTGTTTAACTGTAAATTATTAGATTATTTACCATATTTCGACTACTTAGATTAGTTATTACAAATTATCGTAATCTACTGTCACATCAGTGATGTTACTGTTCCTACACACCGGATGCGGCTGTGCTAGGCACAGCCAACTTGATAGAATAAATTTTAGTCTATTTAAAGATAGTAAGTTATTACAGAGTAGAAACATTCGGTAGAACTAGACTGAAATCGAGCCTTTGTGCTATTAATGAAAGAAGATCGCTATTTTTTAATGTCATATTTTAAGCTGAGGAATTTAGTGCTTGTAAAGCAGCAACCATTTCATATCATTCCAGACAAGCTTTTCATGATCCTTCATAAACAACCAAAAGCCTTTCATTAAACATTTACTACCTGTTAGACATTCCATAATTCAACTTCAGTTGATTTCCTCATACAAAATTTACGGTGATTTATTGTTATGTGTGTATAAATTTTTGCGCTAAACTTAAACTAATCAAGTACTTAAGCTGTATGAGCAACTAATCGTACAGTTAACGACCTAACTGCTTCAAGTTTAGCGCAAAAACGAATGATTGTACCATTAAAACTTGTGCGTTGCAGTCCTTTTCTTAGCTTTTTCAGACCCAGTTAGCACTTTTAGAAAGTAGAAAGGGACTGGTAAAAAAGTAAAATCGTACTTGATATTTGTTGTTGATGATGCGAACTCGGAGATCAAACTCGGCATTCGCCTTGAACGGATTCTTGATGCGCTGCTCGCTATCACTCCAGTTACCACCAATGTACGTGTTGTAGACCATTTTCCCTGAGAAAATTCCTAAAAAGTAACACAGCGCACAAAATTAGAGCAAGCTAGATGCAAGGCTTCATCCTACCTTCATCAAAACGTATACTCAGGTGCAGCGGCAAATCTGCATTCCTATCGCCGCCTTTGTGAAAGTTGAAATCCACCCTGAAATATTCGCACTTGATTAAAACGTCAAGAAAATTTCCAGCACTGAATTTTTCTTTTTTTGCATGGAATGCATGGAAAACCATGGTTCATCACAATATGCGCTTTTGCGTTTGCATACATGCGGCAATGCATGTCCCACTGTCACCCTTAGTGCTTCTTCGGTTTTTTTGCTCCCAAAATCCTGTACTTCAAGATATTGCTTTCTTACAGTCAATCCTTCTGCGAATTATTGACCGTCTGGGACATAAGTGCTAATAGGTCAAACCGAAAAATACGCACGAGAAAAGATAAATTTAATCCAGCTGGCATTTTTCGCTAAATTAACAAAGTAAAATGTACAAATGTTGAACATACAGTAACGGTAAGAAGATTACCAGAAGCTTATATTGCTCAGATTGTACGGGGCTAAAACTTCAGCTGATTAAAATTTCAAAGTGAAATAGCATTTCTATGGAGTAGTACAAAAATTTGCTGGCAAAAATGTGGTTGTTAGAAGGGACTGCGTTTTTCAGGAAACTTGTAAATCTTAGAATTTGTTGCTGAAAACATATCATTCGCTAGCAATATTATTTTGCCAGCAGAATTCAGAGATAAAGTACATCATCCAAAGATAAAGTGCAAAATCCAGAAATAAGGTACAGCAGCGCTACGACCGTCAGCTAAGGATTATTAGTTGCAGAAAGTGATTTGAAGCAGATGTCAGTTATCCTTGTTCTAAGTAAAAGGGGTTGAAAGATTTTGTTAGAAAGGAAAGGTCCAGTCCTTCACAATCATTTGATTTTTGGAAATTTTTTCAAAAGTTTTGTTGAAGAACCGCTTCTACCTTTTTGGCTCGGGTTTTACCATACCGACAGCATGAATTGTCTGGCCTTCTTGGAATGGCTGACTGATTCGGGTCTTGAATGGTACCATCTGCAAAGGTGTCAATTCGTTAGAAATAAGTAATAAATAGCTGCCTTCGTGGCAATCCTGATTCTAATAGCCTCAAAGAAGAGCTTTTATGCCAACTTGCTGGCATATCGTGACTAGGCAAGAAATCGAAAGTATTGAGCTTTCTTTTCTCAACTTGTTGAAACAAAAATACAAATTTGCAGTGCTGACAAACAATTGTGAATCCACGTATCTCTTGAAACTACAGACTTCTGTCTGTGCTAGCGAATAGTTCGTTGAATGAGCAACGCAAGCTCTCGGTATTAGTTTTTCGAAAAGGGATCATTATGCGAGTGGTCACTTCTCAGGATAAAAGCTCACATCTAGATATGAGTTTTCATTCTGATATATAAATTCTTAGTATTTGTTCGCTGTGGCGAAAAGTTTTTGTTATTTTTTCAAGGTCAAAGGAATAAAAACTTTCCCTGTTCTACTATCTGTGTTACACATAATTCTCGCTGACTGCCATTAAATGCTGTAATATCTGTGCTATGCTAAACACAGTTCGCACTGACCGGCACTAACAGCACTGACCGAAGCATTTGGAAAAGCACTCAGATGAATAGTTGAAAAGTGGGCGCAGCTGACTGGAATATCAAAGTAAGTACCATATGGCCTGGCTTTTGTCTTCCGTTTACGCATGTGACTTTTGTCATGGTGAGCAAACGCTGTTAACTTAAGCATCGCACCCAAACATTTCGCAGAGACGTTAGTTTTTCAGAAACAGTTCTTGTGAGCTCGTGAAAACAACGAAAAATGGACTACTTATCCAGAAGTGTTCGTTAATTAATTGGTGTTTTGTATCCAGGTGCGATGCGAATTGAAGATTAATGGCTTATAGATGGATTTTCACTTTTTTGTACTCGTTGGAAAAAAAATGAGGAGGAGGATTCAATTCTTCTTTAAACTGAGATTTCTTGATACACTGAGCGGCTGCAGTTCGCAGCTCGCTCTGCATCAGTGCAGCCGACAGTATTTTCAATTGCTTTGATCAGTGTTGCAATAACAGCTGGCAATCAGCCTGCTGATAACCAACGTCCGTTCAACGTCGTTCTTTGAAAATAACCTAACTGTTCACTGAACAACTCTCCCACCAAAACTCGCACCCCGTGGGCTGGGAACATCCCCTTAAAATTTCAGTTTTCCAGCTTTTCTTGTTTCCCAGTCAGCAATTTTCCCGCCAAAACTTTCATGTGCCCCGTACGCAGGATTCAGTTGTATGTAAAGGTTGGTACCGCGGTCTTAGGGTGGCACTTGACTGAAGACGTGTGGAGCATCCCCGTAGCATCGCTAACACGGAATACCATACACTTGCAGCCCGGGCAGTTTACACAGAGGAAATTCATTTGCTTCAAATGCATTGACAGTGTAAATATTCTTCCGATGCGAGGTGTGTTGTAAAATTTATGAGAAAAAATGTAAACTTACGTATTCCCTTTCGCCTATAAATTTTTTGTAATTAACTTCTTTTGGTCGTGTGGGGTCATGCGATGTGCTTTTGTCTTCTGTGCGCGTATCAGCCGCACTTCCTTCCACTAGCAAACCAAGCAAAACTGCCACTGAAATTTTTTCGTCAAGATAAATTGAAAAAAGAAGCATGGAGGAGAGAGTGAAGAGGCAGAATTTCTCGAAGTGAGAAAAAAAAATGCAAACAAAGATCAAACTGATTTTTTCAAGTACTAAGATGCGCACAGATTAGCCCTGTTCACCCAGAAGTTTCTGCATTTTACTGCTGAATCGATCTCAGCTAACTTTGAAAGAGCTGTTGTCATCCCGAAAAACCCGAATTTTTGCCATTTTCCCATTTTCGTCAAAAATATCCGGAGCTGTGTAGTCAACAAGGGTTGTTTCCTGTACTTTTGAGCTCTGTTCACATAGAAAACCATCCTTTACAGTTTATATGAAGTGCAGATAGTAATATTGGTATGGATTTCAAGCATTAATAATAAGTGCGAAAATAATGGTAATAGTAACCGTAGCAGCAAAAATCATCAAAACATCAAATAAATGATAGCAGTATTAATAATATAACATAATACTAATAAAATCAGTGATAAAGTATCATAGAAGCAGTAATACTCGCAAGAAAAATTGTTATACAACTTTGGATTATTATGAATTTTGA